GTGGACATCGATGCACGACACGTAGTGTGATCAGCAAAGTATGTTGGAGGAAAGGTGAGGGATCTATGTTGGATCCTTCCGCATTCCTACCTCATCAAAGGTGTCCTCCTTCTGCAGCCTGAAGACGTGCGTTTCTCCAAAGCACACAGTGACCTGATGACGAGGCGAAGGATCAGTACACACTCCTTCCCCTCGGCAGGTAGGGGTGAGAAGGAAACGAACCTCAACTTCGCCGCCAACCTGCGACGGCGCCAGTGGCGTGCCAGGCTGAGAGCCGAGGGCAAGGACTCCGGCAGCTACACACACACCACGACGGAGCTAACTGTGAGCCTGGTGCTCATGGGGTGAGTGAAGAAATCCCATCCGAAGAAATACTGTACGTTGGGTTCCGTATTGCTTGGCGATGGCCTCAAGCGGAAGCACGGACGCGATGAGGCGCACAGCCGTAACAGCGCCAACAGTCGGCAAGGGGTAGCTCAGCGGGAACAGGGGCTTGGTTTCTGTTACATTAGATGGGAGAACAACACTTGAGCTCAATGGCTGTGCACCGGTCGCGAGGGGCAAGAAGAGGCCGAGAACTCGTACCGGTCAAGCAGCCCAGGTAGTGTCGCTTTTCGCTTATGAAGGGAGGCAGGGAAAGGAACGCATTCATACCGCAAAGCACGTTAACAGCTTTGCCATTGTGTGCCTCGAGCTGTATCTTGTGTGCATTGGTTGTCTCATTGCCAGAAAACAAATAAAATCGTCATACAGCTCCACCACACCACACAGCCACCACCATGCGTCCCAGCACACTTCTCGCCCTCTCCGCTGCCCTCTGCTTCTTCTTCTTGGCCTCCGCCTCGCCGGATGAGCCCCTCCGGCATGCCGACCCTTTCCGGGGGGAGTTTACCGAGTGGACGAGGACCCACGCCAAGTCCTACTCCACCGAGGAGTTCGTCTTCCGGCTGAGTGTGTGGCGCGAGAACAAGCGCTTCGTCGAGGAGCACAATCGCCAGAACCACAGCTATAGCCTTGGCATGAACCAGTTTGGCGATCTCACCGCCGACGAGTTCCGGAGGATCTACACCACTGACATGTCCAGCTTCGCTGCTGCCACTGCTCCTATCACGAAGGAGGAGGAGGAGTACAACGCCACCACCTCCGAGGCTGCCTCCCCGGCCTCGTCCGTCGCCACCCCGCGAGCCTCGACTGGAGGACGTGGGGAGGCGTACAAGCCGTCAAAAACCAGGGTACATTCCCTCCCCCAGAGCTTGATCAGCCACCTGTCTTGATGTTGTGATTCTTCATTTTTTCAGGTTCGTGTGGCTCTTGCTACGCGTTCTCGGCAGTCGGTGCCCTCGAGACCGCCCACTGGCGCAAGTATGCCACTCTCCCGAACCTTTCCGAGCAGCACCTCGTCGACTGCACGGGCGAGTACGGCAACGGCGGCTGCAGTGGTGGTTGGATGCACACCGCCTACCGCTGGCTCCAGGACAAGGGCGGCTCGGTCTCCCAGCTCTCTTATCCCTACACGGCGAGCGTCGGTGCCTGCCAACACGCTGCCAAGCCCAAGAGTGCGTTTGTGCAACACTACACTCGGATACCCGCCGGCAACGAGAACGCTCTCCTCGATGCCGTTGCCACGACCGGGACCGTCGCCATCGCCTACAACGCCGGGACCCAAGCCCACGCGTACTACCAGGGCGGCATCCTCGACGTACCCAACTGCGGGAACACGCCCACCCACGCAGTGCTGCTCGTCGGCTACGGTACCGAGAATGGCAAGGACTTCTGGATCCTCAAGAACTCGTGGGGTTCGGGCTGGGGCGAGGGCGGCTACTTCAGGCTGGCGCGCGGCAAGAACATGTGCGGGATCGCTGACTGGGCCTCCTACCCCATCGCCTTATAATTAGGTCGCCCATGTTTGTTCTCTCTGCAAGAACATAAGAGAGTTGGTAATATGGGTGTGCATATATGGTGGTGTAGTACTCTGTACAGCCCCGATCTCTCTGGTGGCGGCGGCGGCGGCGGTGTGTGGTGTCTCGGTGTGTGTCTGTGTTTGGTGGGGGTGGTCCTTTTGGTGCTCTCGTTATTTTGGAAGAGGGGCCTCAGTCGTCGCCGAGATCCTTGAGCAGCAGGTCCTTGGCTTCGTTCACCTTCGACGCCACGTAGTCGCTGCCTCCATTGTCTGACAAGCACGCGACAACACAAAAACGAAAGCGCGATCAGAGAGATGATCGTGTGCACAACCAGGTCCCAACTGGGTTGCCTGGTGGAGTTGTACCGGGATGGTTCGCCAACATGATCCGCCTGTGGGCCATCTTGATCTTCTCCTTCGAGGCGCCTTGTCTATGTGTGTAACGCGCGCCAGGGAAGGAGAAGAGAAGAAGAAGGAGAACGTACATGTAGGTAAGTCTCGACTGGGTGGGCAAGGCGGTCGTGAGTGCTTGGGAGGGGTCGCGTACCGGACACTGAGGATGAGAGCGGCTTCGGCGCGGGTCATCTCCGACTCAAAGCCGCCCGTGTAGTAGGACTTCATCCTCGATGGACCCTTGGGCACCACTGCACAAGCAAGCCGAGCCCACCATAGCTCAGACACAGCAAAGAAAAAGGGAAAATCGGCAGAGATGAAAGATGAAGATTAAATTGAAAATGTGGAGGGAACAACGTACTGCCCTTGGGGAGGGTCAAGTTGCCGGCCTTGAAGTGCTTGTAGGCGTTCATAGCCACGCGCCCACCGATGGCCACACCAGCAATCACCACACCCGCCACAAGAAGAGTAGCCTTGCCGGGGGGGGGGTAAATTAAATCGTGGATAAGAAAAATGCGTAAGCGACACTTCATTTGCAGGCCTGTGCACATCAAAGTGATGCACACGGCGAACCCCCTCCTCTAATGCTGCGTACCATTTGCTCCCGGATCGATACAGCGGCAGATGGTCGCAGATGCAAGTTCGAAGAAAGGGAAAAGAAATGTCAAAACAGAAACTATGGGAAAAGAATGTCGACAGTTTTCACTGTTTATTATTAATCCCTACTAAGCGAAGATCGAACACAAAATGATGAGGGCCGTTCTGGTTGTGGTGGCTCTGCTGGCCGTGTCGCTGGTGCACCTGTCCTCGGGTGCGCCGGAGCCTGCGTGCTGCTTCCCGCGCCACTTCGTCTCCTCCTACGAACACTTTGCCGACCAGGGCGGATTTCAGGTTCCTGCCTCCACATCTCTTTATATCCTTCTCCCATCTCTTCTGCATCTTCTTCATCTTCGCTTTTTCTTTCTCACTTCCCCTCAACCTCGATAGGCGAACATCCGCTATTCGGAGGACTACGGCGTCCGGCTCGATACCAGCCTGTGGGACCCCAAGGCCGTGGCCTCCCGCGCCCAGGTCTACCTACTCAAGGTCCCCCCTCTTCTCTCTTTTCCTTCGCTTTCGTTTTCGCTTTCGCTTTCTGTTTGTGGAAGTGGAGAGTGACCGGCCCTCACGTCTGACGTTGATGACCAGACCGGCCACCTGTACGAGTACAACGTGACCTCGGGCAGTTGCGTTCACTTCGAATGTTCTTCGTGCTTCACGGTACGTGCGCACTCCAAGCGCGACCGGCTGCGTGTCACACCAGTCCTGTGTGCGTGTGCGTGTGCGTGTGCGTGTGCGGTGGTGCGCGTGCGGTGGTGCGCGTGCGTGTGCGTGCAGCGGAGTGTCTCACATGCGGTGGTGCCTTTACTCGATCATACAGCCCTTTTGCACCGGTCAGAACACCGCCTTCCGCTTCGCTGGAAACGTCACCATCGGCAGCCAGAACGCTCAGAAATGTAACCTCTCTTTTATGTCGTGTGTCGTGTGCCGTCACAATGGAATGTGTGCACTTACCTTTTTGTTTGCAGGGGCTGTGCGTGCTGGGGAGGAGTTCTACAGCGAGATCACGGCCGTCGGCAGCCGGCCCGGGCAATGCATTCCCGTCAACGAGCTCGCCATGTCCGGCATGTACCTCGAAGCCGTACGCACCCCCCAACCATTGGCTCCTTACGACCACTTGGTTTTGTGCTGCTGACGTGTCGCTCTGTCTTTTTGGTTCCTCACGCGCGTGCAGGACACCCGATACTCGAACTCATTCTTCTACAACGTGCGCCCGTTGAGCTCGCTCGACGGCAGCTTCTTCAACCCGCCGGCGTCCTGCCGGGACGTGCACGTGACGACGATGACGCCGACGACCCGCCCGCAGCACTTCCCGCCCGCATTCCTCTCCCTCGAGGGCCAGGCGCGCCTGCTTGGCGTATTGTGAGCCCCGCGCGAGCGAAATGTGCCTCCGCTGGTGTCGAACACCGCGTGCGGCTCGAACAGCGCCAGAAAACGAAATACGAAGGAATTCGTAGTCGTCATTCTTTGGGGGGGGGGTAATCGGACCTAAATGAACAATTAATTGGTTGCAAACAGAATTGCTCGAAAGATCTCCTGTGATGCAAGAGCTTGTCGATTACGCGGACACCTCAATGGAGGTGGATCACGACTCTCTAGCGTTCTTGGCCGCGTCGGCAGCGGCTGCGCAAGAAGGCACAGTGATTGTTTACACGCCACAGGTCGTCAAGATCGCAGATTTGCAATCATCCACTGTCGGAAGCCTACTGCAGGCGCTTGGAAAAAACGACGGAGGTACATAATGATTTATGATTCATTATTTGTGGTCTTTGTCACCCCCCCCCGCGGCCGGGTGGCTTATGAAAGTTGGTTTCCGTGTAGCGCACGAACTCGCTTTGCGTAGATCTCCCGCAATGCCACTGCAAGTGTCGGCGCCAGTTTCCGCCGGCCAAGTCTTTGGTACTCCGCCCTCCACATCTGTGTTCTGCGTGTTTCGCCTGCGCTCTGTTTGATGTTTAACGCTCGTGTGTAGTGGTCCGTCATGCTTCGGTGGCGGAGCGGGAAAGAGCGTATGAGCAGGAGGCGTGGTTCCGACGCCAAAGAGACCACCGACGACAATTCACCTATTCACGGTGGCAGATCCCTATTCCTGCAAACAAGGCCCCTGTCGACAGGCTCCTGGTCCACTTCGTGCCGGTGGCAAAAATCGGGCTGGTGGTAGAGATGCACCACCTGTGTGGTCATGGTCAACCAACTGTTGCTCACCTGCTCAACTACCTCTTTGCCTGGGGTACGTCCTCCTCAATGCGTTCGAAGTGCGCATAGGCCGCCTCCAGCGGCTGCATTTGTGATTGCCATGGTTTGACGGTTGATGTGCCATTGACATCTGGCATATATGTGCGGTGGTGCGTGGCATATATGCAGGAACCCTGCTCGCTCGTGTGCATGATCATGTTTCTCTCCCCCTCTGGTCAATAAGACTTGACAGCAACGAGCAAAATTGGTACGCCATCCTGCTTAGTTGGTCATTCCCTGTCCACTCATAGTCACAGTGGTGGTTGGCAGGGAGAATGAAGACTTCCGCCAGTGGTGGAAACAACGCTTGACGCGTGCAGTTCCGGCTTTGGTGTACTCCGTCCGGTTTATTGATGACCGCTGGCAACAACAATACAGAGATCTACGCTCCTTCAGCCAACAACTGTTGTCATGTGGTATGTGGGACAATTGCTTGCCATGCTCAGACACCACACAAAACTCACCGAGGCTTAATGCCTCATGCACAGTGGGGCCACGTGCACTTCGCAGCCGTAGTTGGGTGTCATTGCGCGACAGCCAAGAACCCCTCCCTGGCAATACCCCCGTATCAAAGGGCTGCATCTATGATATCCTTTACCTCCCCATCTTTTCTTTACAATGTTGCTTTGGGCTCTCAGGCAACCACCTTAACTCAGCTCTTCTACAATTCCACACTTCTGTGATCACTCTTCCAGGACCTGGAGAGCAAGCTACCATCCTTCGGGATGATGTGCACTCAATTGCTGTCGTGGGCAACAATGGAGCAGGCAAGACTCGCTTTGCCCATCACACAACAACATCAGCCGGTGCCCGGAAGGTGGTCATCAATGCCCTCCGCGATCTTGGGTACCACAGCCACCACCCCACTGCTCTTTTGCTGGTCTGACTTGCAAATTGTGTGCCCAGTGACCAGAGATCACAACTCCCTGATGAGCTTGCTCAAGTGGTGGCACAACACGACAAGCTGACCAGGGTGCGTACTGTACCAATCAACATTCCTTGCATTGAGCTGTATGATCAACATGCTCTTGTGGTACATGCTGCAGGTGGCCGCTAGCTTTGCCGAGCTGTGTTGCCACCATGTTATCCTCAATCAGGATTCTGGCGGCCTGGAGATCATCAATAGCAAATCGAAACAGTACAGCCCCAAGAAGTTGAGCGCAGGCGAGGGCAGCATCTTCCTGATCCTGTGCCAAGTGGCGTGTGCGCCCATGAACGCCTTGGTGATCATCGACGAGCCGGAGCTGCATCTCGAGCAGGCCAAGTCTGTGCATCTGTGCACCGTGCTCGAGCGAATGCGGCCCGACGTGTTCTTTGTCTACCTCACCCACCAGCTGGCCATTGCCTCGCGTCCAGTGTCACGATGCATTCATGTCAAGTCTTTTCGGGCACGTGGTCTCTTCGTTCTCCTTCTCACGTTCTTCTTCTCATCACTGATGTTGGTGGTGTGCAGGGAAGAAAAGAATGGGAGATGATTCCGCCCGACCTGCCCGACCTGGCGGTCAAGCTGCTGAGCAAGCCCGAGATGAACGTGCTCTACATCGAAGGCACCAATCACGGGAAGGACAACTCCTTGCGGGATGTCCAGGTCTACGGCCCGCTGTTCCGCAACGGCTTCAATCTTCGCTCGCTCGGAGGGTGCTCCGCCGTGATCGCAAAAACCAAGGAGACGCGCACACAGCAGTGGGCAACCAAGGTCTCGGTGAGTGGTCTCCTCGATCGCGACAACCACAGCGCCGAGTACATCAAGAAGATGGAGCGGCTTGGAATCTACCACCTGGGAGTGTGCGAGATCGAGAATCTGCTGTGGGCGCCCGAAGTTCTGCGTCTTGTGTGCCTGAGCGTCGGGCTTTTCGCAGCAACAGAAACATCCCCCTCGATCGATCGGTCATCGTCGTCATCGTCGTCATCATCTTCATCGGCGTCAGCACCGGCACTGGAGCTGGCACCGGCAGCTTCCTCTTCCGCTTCAGCCTCACCGCCCTCTTCAGCTGCACCCGGCACAAGCGATCCCATGCCAGCGGCGGTGCACGAGTTCTACCAACAGTTGTTCGATTTGCTGCGAGAGGGAAAGAAGGACACATCGAAGAGCAGGAGTCCCTACAAGGCAATCGTCGCCGGGATCGTCGAGCATTGGAAGCGCTACCTCCGCCAGGGCACCGACCGAGACTGCTTCGACTACTTCAGCCAATCGTTGCCCGGTGGCGCGATTCGAGAAGATGAGAATATCCAGCGCCAGCCGCTCGCCAAGGTCATCAACGACAAGCTCTGGAACCTCAGCCACGAACTCGAGACGCTGGAGGGAGACCAAGCTCTGGAGAAGGCCGAGGAGGCCCTACAGACGCTCGAGAAGCTGGCGGCACAAGACGAGGGTCAGGCGAAGGCCAAGCTGACCGAGTGGGCCACGGCGCTGGTGGACGACATCATCGAGCAGAGAGACGTGGAGCGCGCACTCGAGCATCTCAGCCACAAGGCACTGGTGGAGGAGGTCAACCGGTTTATTCGGAAGAAGGCAGGCCTCGGCCTCGAGTTCGATGTTCGTAAGACGGTGGTCCGCATGCTCGAGACAAGTGCAGAGATGCGTCATGCGATTTTGCTGCGGGTTCCGGTCGAGTTGCGCGACCACAAGCAAAGAGGTCCGTGTCTCTCCACTGAGTCTCTTTATCGAGGTTTCGCGAGACTGAGATGTTGCTTGTTTGTATGCAGGGCTCGTGACCAGCGAACAATCGAGTGTGCAGAAGCTGGCGCGATTCCTCGGAGAGACTGTACGGTCGCCACCAGTTGGTTTGATGTGTTGGCCCCGTGTGACCGAATGTGTGCATTTGCGTGCAGACGGTGGCCCTTCCGATCAGCGACGACCAGTCAGGCCTCACCGTGACACTGAAGCTCGAGCTTCCCGCACCCGCAACTGCAGAACTAGTGCTTCAGGCGCTTGGAGTGTGGGGTACGCACATCTGCCTTGCTATTCTGCTGGTGCTCGGTGCTCAAGGCCATCACTTCTTTGCCCTTTCCAGCACTCCAGCTGGCCGCCAAGGTCGTGGGAGGCAAAAAGAAAAACCAAAACGCTTGGCGCCATTGGCTGGAAATGCAGATAAAGAGCGGAAAGTTAACGATGAACGACAGCTCCTCTTCTACGAGCGGGTGGCCAGCTGACCAGCTGGAGCTTGGTACTTCTCCGCCCCTGTCATGCTTTCCTTTTTGAGGAACTACTGATCATACGCCAGTACGCCAGTACAAGCATGCCCGAGGAGTACTGTCAACAGACGCTGCTGGGTCAATTCTCCTCAAGTTCACGGACGTTGTGCCAGACCAAAAGCTCTATATCCTCTTTACCTCTTGGACGTGTTGTTTGCGTGTGCGTGTGCGAGTGCGTGTGAGGTGATGCGTTTCGTCAGGTTTCCTTAGCCATCGTTACATTTTCATCGCCGCAAAGTCGTTCTGCCGCAAGAGCTTACGCAACAGGTCAAGATTGAAGAGTTGAACCTCGACGGCGCACGTTCGATGACGATTGTGGGACCCAACGGTGTTGGCAAGACTGCCCTCGCACGATCGTTTGCTCGTGGTGCAACTACCCAGTGCATCTGGGCCTATCGTGGGTGTGGGTACGCTTGCTCCTCTCCCTCCCCACCGGCAAACGTACTACCAATTAATACGCCACAAACACACTCTTTTTGCAGCAACTACATGAAGAAGCAGCAAACGAAGCCTTATGAACAAGTTGTGGAGGAGCACCAGCGCCGTGGAGTTGGGTCGACCCTTCTGGATGAGGTGCCCAACTCTCTCTTCACCTCCTGCGCCTGCTTGTGCTGGGGTAACAGCTGACATGCAATCCTTAGATCAATGAGGATTTCTTCGCCCTCGTTCAGCTCAGAGTCAGCTGCACGGAAAAACTCGGGCTTGTGGTTCAACGGTTCAACAGTGCGGGCGACCCTGTAGAGCACTCAACTGATAGTCTGAGCGCGGGCGAGGGCAGCATCCTGAGCATCCTGTGCGACGTGGCTCTGGCTCCCATCGGAGGCCTGGTGATAATCGACGAGCCCGAAATGCACCTCGAGCAGGCCAAGTCTGTGCTGCTGTGCCAGATCCTTGAGGAACGGCGGCCTGACGTGTTCTTCGTGTACATCACCCATCAGCCCGAGATCGCAGCGCGTCCTGTGTCTCGCTGCATCAGCGTGACATTGCCGACACCGGTATGTAGTGTTGTATGTCTTGTGTCGCATGTGGCGTGTGGCGTGAATGGCGTGTGCGTTCACGGTGATGCGTGTGCGGTGGTGCCTGCGTGTGCGTGTGCGTGCGATGAGCACCTCCCCGGCAGCCATTGAAGAGTTGTACTTCGCTGTTGAGTGCTGGAAAGTGTGGCCTGACGCATATGCGTGTTGGACGTTGCAGGGCAAGGCGATGTACACCCACGTTGGTGATGATCTGATGATGATGAAGTTGGCAGCCAAGCTGCTCAGCAAGCCCGAACGTCACGTTCTCTTCATCAACGATCGTGCCCCCCTCGCCGACCAACCGCCGCACGCAACGCAGCACCCGTCGTCGCCCATCGCGAAGCAGGTCTACGGACCGCTGTTCCGCAACCACTTCACTCTGCGCACGGTGCACACGACGAACCACGACGAAGATGACGTGATCGAGACCACCAAGCGGACGAAGGCGCAGCTGTCTGGGCTCGATGCCACCGTGGTGGCGGGTCTGGTCGACCGGGCCAACCACAGCGCCGACTATATCGAGATGATGAGCGGCAAGGGCATCTACCACCTTCAAGTGTGCGAGGCGGAGAATCTGCTGTGGACGCCCGAGGTGCTGCGTCTCGTGTGCGTCAGCATCGGCCTGGTGGGCACCTCGGAGCTGGAGAGTGCTGGTGGGCGACGACGCAAGGTGGACGACCTGTACGGCGACATCGACAGTATCAATAGTGACGACTGCACCCCTGTGGACGGCGTGAGCCACGGCCAGCGCAGCAGACACCCGGGACACAGCGCCAAGCGCATTCGCTACAACCGGAGCCGCTCGGCATCATGTCCCTCCGCGGCTGCGGTCGAGCACCAGCCCGAGGAATTTGAGGCGCTCGCCTCATCGTCGTCGTCGTCATCGTCGTCGTCGGCACTGCCGCTAGCGAACACATCCAATGACCTGGAAGGGATGGAGGCCTGCGAGTTCTTCGCCGAGCCCGAGGAATTTGCGGCGCTCGCCTCCTCGTCATCGTCGTCATCATCGTCGTCATCGTCGTCATCGTCGGCGTCGTCGGCACTGCCGCCGGCGAACACATCCAATGACCTGAGAGGGATGGAGGCGGTCCGCGAGTTCTTCGCCGGGCTGTTCGCCTCTCTGCGGCAGGAGAAAGACGACGTCAAAGGCAAATCGACATCATCGGCCTCGATCTACGACGGGATGATCGCCGGCATCGTCGAGAGGTGGACCGCCTATCTCCAGCAACATACCGAGAGCGAGTGGAAGCACGACAAGACGCTCAAGGACGCCAAAGGGAAGGCCAAGCAGCAGAAGGGGAAAGAAAAGTTGGATGCGACCGCTACGGCGAGCGTGTCCACCAGCAACCCTACGGAGCTTCCAGTCGTGCGCTACTTCCGCGAGGCGTTGCCCGGCAGCCACCAGCACGCAGCAGCGGTCCCCAGGCGCGAGACGGTGGCCGCACGCATCCGGCGCCACGTCACCGAGCTGAGAGCGAAGATGGTGCTCAAGGACCACAACACCAACAAGTGGGACGAACTGGCGAAGCTGCAGCAGGCCGAAGTCGCGAAGACACTCGAGGCGATCAAGAACATCAAGATTGACGACGAGGCCGAGGCCGACGAAATCTACAACTCGCTGAACGCTTGGGCGCAGGAGCTGGTCGACGACATCGTGGAGAGCGGCGACGTGGAGCGCGCGCTCGAGCATCTCAGTCACCCGGGCGTGGTGGACAAGCTCAACGATTTCCTGCGGCAGAAGAAGGGCGCCGCCAGCAGTGAATTCGACATTCGGCAGTCCGTCAGAAAGCTGTTGGAAACGAGCGAGGACATGCGCCAGGCCATGCTGCTGCGCATGCCGCCTGCACTGCTGGACGTCATGCAGGCTGCCGACGACAGACAACGTGCGACCGGCGGTACAACCCACAACACCTTTTTGCATTATTTGAAGCTCTGCAATGTTGGACTCTCATCTCATTTGTTCAATCCACACACTCTCTCTGCAGCAGTGGCGCGCCCAGTGCTGAGCGCAACCAGGCTGGGTCAGTTGCGTTTCCCTCGCACTGCTACCGAGGTACCGTACTCCGGAGGACATTCATTTTTGTACAGCACAGCACAACTCATCCCATTCTCTGGTATACACAGACAAACTGAATCAGCCGGTCGCTTGCCTCCCACGGAGGCGGTACTTCACGTGTAGGTCTAACCCACCCAGAGTCAACATTCCAAGCAAAATGCAGTCTTTTCTTCTGTCTTTCCCAACACACCTCGCGCCGAGTTAGCCGTCGTGGTTGCGTTGCCGCTCCTCCTGGCCTTGGGTTTGTTCGCGTGATTGTGTCGATCGCTAGGGAGCCAAGGAATCGCTCTCAGCACCGTTTAGCCACCATTTCTCATTGATGCGGGGCAATATTGGGGCTCCGTACGGTGTTCACCTCGGCCAAGCACCCTGCGTCGGTTCGCTCAAGCATGTGAACCCGGTCCCTCTTGCACCAGCCAACCCTGCCAGTAGTCGTATGCTTGGTCCTTCCATAAAGCACCAAAAAATTTTAGTTCCGTGTTCGTGGAACAAATTGACAATTGTTGTTGCCAACCCCGACAAGCAACCCACAGTTGTCGCCAACACTCAGAGACGAAGAGAGGAGAATGTCTGAGTTGCCAGAGATCCACAACTTTGCGCGAACGATACAGGAGCAGGCGGCCCACCGCACGTTCAATCGCATCGTACAGCCGCGTATAGCCGAGCCCAAATGGCCGCGAATCGACTCGCGGGGGCCCTTCGAAGCGCAGGCCCCCTTCACCCTGTCTGCCGTCGCTCGCGGCAAGGAGCTGCAGCTGACCATGGTCCTCCCGAACGACCGCTTCGAAGTCGAGGGTCAGAGCGGCAGCAGCAGCTTCAACAATAGCAACAGTGGAGGCCTAGCCCAGGGTTATTCGTTCGGGCTAACCCCGAGGGCGTCGATGTCGGTGATGCCCGCCACCACCAAAACCGCACCTCTGCTCAGGGCGGCACTGGCTGTGGACAGCGGCGGAGTGTATTCGACGACGACAAAGCTGCTGCTGCTCATGTCGATCCTGTTCAAGGAGGGCAAGATCGAGGCGGCGGACAAGGACTGGCTCAAGGAGATCGTGGTGGCCGGTGGCGGTCGCCAGGGTGGCGAGGGGAAGGCGGTGCAGTGGCTGAAGAAGCTCGAGGCCTGCCTGGAGTACTTTGAAGCCGAAAACGACCTCGACGAGGTGGGCGAGACCATGCGCATCCTGACCAGATGCTACGTCCTCGCCTCCGCCCACAACGACGGCGTTCAGTACCCATTCCGCAGGGTACGTGGAGAATTGCGACACCTTCACGCAAACCGCTTGATCAGCGTTTTCTGATCCGTTTGCTGCCAGGGTCTCGAGACAGCTGGCTCTCGTCAGTTGGCCCAAATGGGGTCGCTCCTGCAAGTTGACCAGCAGTCCTACATCAATCCGAATCAGTTTCACCAGGTGGCCCAAACGGGATTGCTCCTGCAAGCGGTCCAGCAGTACGCGCTGCTCTCGCGAGCCGAGGACCCTGTCTCGTGCCTTGACGTCAATCCGAAACAGTATCATCGAATCCTGAAGCGGCGACAAGAACGGACGAAGCTGGAGGCCAAATACCAGATCATGCCACGCAGGGTTCGACTTTCATCCCGGCCCTCCGTCTTTCAATAACTGATCCCGAACGCTACCCCTTTGCAGGAGTGGCTGTATGACAGTAGGCACCAGCACACCAAGAACAGGCAGCGTGGGCCTGGTGGGCGCTTCCTTAGCAAAGTGGAGTGTTGTGACAAGCTCAGGGGCACAACCATCAAGCCTCACCATGCCCCTCTTCCCACTCCTTCTTCGTCATCATTACACGAGCCTTCCTATCTATCCATCTGTCACCGACTTGACCGCTTCTTTGGCCAGAACCAAACCTGAGCCGCAGAGAAATTGAGATACCTTTGATTATCACAACCAAGTTGTGGCCTTTCTAACGAACAGGTCCTCTTTTCTTTTCTTTCGCAACACATGTACTAAGCTTAGTTGGTTGTCATGGTCGTGCTGCCACTCCTCCTGGCTGCGGTGGAGTGCAAGTTGTACTTGGCAAAGGCGTGGTAGTCTGACGTGACGCTCAATCCACACGCGCTCTGCGAGAGGAGATGAGCGGCAGGCCGCAAAAGCATGGGAAAAAGTTGGAAGTCCGCACCTTGAAGATGTATACAAGGACGACTTTGTGGGGCGTTGAGAGGTCGACGCTGTGCACGGGTGGCACCTGCACACCGCACATGTGCTGCGTTGAGAATTGAATCCGCCCACAAGACAAAAAAAATTAACAAGAAAAAAGTAGAGTACCGAGGCTGCGATCTGGGACACGACGGGCATCCTCTCTACACGGTCGTTGTTGCGCTTGTCAAACACAACTGCGAACTGCACACCGCAAAAAGAATAGAGAGAGAGAGAGAGAAAGATCGTGAAACAGTGGTTGAACGTGTCGAGCGGGATGCGCGACGCACCTTAAGCGGGGCATCGGTCTCGCTGGGGAAGTGGTCGGGCAGCATGGCCTGCGCCGCCGACACAATATCGGCTTCGCTCGCGGCGCACACTCGCTCTATGGGCACCAGGCGATGGCACGCGTCGCTGTAGATCGCGCGAGCTTGAGTGTACGAGCCACTCACAAAAAGCCAAAAGGGACGACAGACCGCGCACCTGTGAGCCGCCTGTTGTGGAAAGTCCGGGTCGGTGAAGATGCGGTGGGCGAACTCGACCGGTCGTATGTCGGGGCTGTTCACCGACACGAAGAACAACCCGCTGATTCCTGACTCGTGATCGCGCCGATCGGGTGAGCCAAAATGAAACTGTGATTTGCGGGAGGGGGAGGACCAGACCGCCAGAGTCGAATATGTTGAACAGCTTCGGCGCCCGTTCTCGTGGCTTGTCGCTGGGTGGTGTTGGGCCGTGGCTCGTGCCGGTCTCTTCTTTCGAATCTGCAGCAGCAGCTGTGTTCGAGTCCGCCAGCTTGAGCGTCTCAGCAGAATCTGCGCTGCTCGGTTCCTCCGCGGCCGTGCCATCGGGTCGGGCGTCCGCGGCCGTGCCTCCGGCGTCGCCCTCGGTCGGCGCAGGTGGATTGAGATGACGTTCGACTTCTTCGGGATAGAACTTGCGCGCGTACTGCTCCCGAACATGCACAAAAGTCATCAGCACCGCACCGCACGCGCACGAACACATGGACGGTGTCGGCGACCACGACACGTGTGTGGCGCCCACGTTGATGCCGGGTTGACGCCGTACGTGGTTGAGGAGCTGGAGGACTTGGGCGAGGGCGTGGTTCTCGCGGTGGACGGCGCAGGTGACCACGAAGCCGTGCCTCGCTTGGCCCCGGTTGAACAGCGTGGCGTGTTTCTGTGCACATGGACCGTCACGGTGCTGAGCGGCCGCTTCATCTTTCTGCAAACGCACAAACTGCAAATAAAGAGGGTTTGCACCTTGAGCGAACTTCGATCGAGTCGGGGACGCTTGGTCGTCGGAGTTGTCTTTTGTTCAGCTTTGCCCACCTTCTTGTCCACCGAATCAGTGCCAGTCAGTTCCGTCTCGCTCCGCTCTCTCTTCATCTTGTTGGGATTAATATCTTTTTCTTTTCCCGGATCTTTTCTGTTCAAATTTTCCTTAGACTAAAAGAAACGCTCCGGAAATGAAGAAGGTGGAGAGTTCCCAGCCCTGAGCGCAACTGAGGATGTACGCGACGGAGGTGCACACCAGCGCGGTGCGGGAGGCCCATGTGTTCGATGTGGAGCGCCTCACCAGCTTCATGGCCCAGCAGATTCCCTCCTTTGTGCCGCCTCTGCAGGTGCGCCCCCCAATCCTAGGTGGCTCTACACGAATCAAACGATCTTCACGACGTGGTGTCGTGCTCACCTTCTCATAAAAACAAAACAAAACAAAACAAGGTGAGGCAATTCAAGCATGGGCAGTCCAACCCGACGTTCCTGCTGGCGGACGGCAGCGGCACCAAGTACGTGCTGCGCAAGAAGCCGCCCGGCAAGCTCCTCTCCTCTGCCCACATGGTGCTCCCAAATACTGCTCCAGCGTTGAGTGCTAGTGACTTGCTTATATACGCATTCGTGCCTTGTGTGGGAAATGTGAAGGTGGAGCGCGAGTACATGGTGATGAAGGCCCTGAAGCAGGTGCGTGCGCACCACCTGCCCGCTCGCTCAGCCATGCATGGACAGCGGGTCCCTCTAACTGTCCGCATCGCAGGTGAACTTTCCGGTGCCCGACCTGCTGGCCTTCACGGCAGACTCGAGCGTCATCGGCACGCCCTTCTACATCATGCAGTTCGTCACGTACGCCTCCACTTACAGTACCCGTGAGAATGAGGAGTCACTGACGTCTGAGGCGCCACGTGGTACATCCACCTGCAGGGGCCGTATCTTTACCGATCCCTCATTGCCCGGTTTGCCGCCTCAAGAGCGGGCCGCCCTCTTCAAGTACTCCCAACCGGCTCCGTTCACAAAGCAGCTGCATTGTGCTTGCTGACCACTTTTGCTGCTCCATGCATGCAGGGAGTTCATTCGCGTGATGGCGTTTCTGCACTCGGTCGACTACAAGAAGGTGGGCCTCGGCGCCTACGGCAAGGAGGGCTCCTACTACGCACGCCAGGTACGGCCTGCGACTAAGTAGTCGGGGTTGCCCTTGATTTGTAGTTATATAAGACCACCTAATATATCACCACTCCAGGTCGCGACTTGGACGCGCCAGTACCGAGCCTCGGCCACGGAGGAGGTGCCGGCCATCGAGAGCCTCATCACCTGGCTTTCGCGTAACGTGCCCGAAGAGCTGCCTGGCGATTGTACCATTGTTCACGGCGACATGAAGTTCGACAACGGTACGCACCCTCTAGTCGCTCCACTGTTTGTTTGCGAAGCTTGCGCTCAGAATCGTCGACCAATGCGGGCTGTGTGTGCAGTGATTTTCCACCCGACTGAGCCGCGCATCATTGCGGTGCTCGATTGGGAGCTGTCCACGCTCGGCCACCCGCTGGCGGATGTGGCCTACTCGTGCCTTCCCTACAGCGTCGACCTCCCCGGAAACTCGCTCATCGACAAGGACATGAGCGGTACGTACGCTCTCTTCCCGCCCTCATTTTTGTTTTTTTGGCGTTGGGTCGAGTGTCGTGGGAGGTGCGGCAGCGTGAATGTTGGATACGGCCATACTGCACAGAAAGCACCGCTTCCCATCCGAACAGCGAAGTTAAGCTGCGCCAGGCGGTGTTAGTACTGGGGTGGGCGACCACCCGGGAATCCACCGTGCCGTATCCTTTTTACTCTCTTCTTGCTCCGCCCAACAACACAACACTCAACTCTTCGGTACTTGTCACCGATGACTGTGTAATGTCGCTGACCTGTCCTGCCACTTCGCTGTGCTGCGCACAGGCATTCCCTCGCAGGCCGAATACGTGAAGCAGTACTGCCAGCATACGGGCCGCGCCTTCCCGATTCCCAAGTGGCACTTTTACGTCGCCTTCTCCGCCTTCCGGCTCGCCGGCATCGCCCAGGGGGTGTACAAGCGGTACGCTGCCGCCCCCCGCCCGGCCCCGCGCCCTGTGGTGGGGACCACTGACCGAATGCGTGCGCACGTTCAAGATTCCTGCAAGGCAACGCATCGTCCACCACCGCTGGCGTCTTCGGAGCGGTGTCGAAGATGTGCCTCGAGGCCGCTTGGAGCCTTGTGGAAGCAGAAGAGAGCAAGCTCACCACCAGTACGCCGCTCATTCATCCTGGCCGACTTCACTGCTGGTGTCAGGCCTAACGCGGGTGGCGGCTCAGCGGGTGAGGCCAATGTAAGGCATGGCAGCCCCAAGAAGGGGGTGTCGACGATGGAGGACATCATGGCCGCTCTGCCCGAGCCGCGGTGGGAGCCCGTGTCGGAGAGGAGCGTGGCCCTGCAGAAGCAGCTGTGGCGGTTCCTCGTCGACAACGTCTTCCCCATCGAGCGCCAGGTCCACGACGAAGTCAACCAGCCGGGCAACCGATGGAAGGTACTCCGATCGGTCACCTTGTTTGGCCATTTCCGCCAACGTGTGGCGCATGCTGCACCAGAACGGCGACTCATCTTTTTATGTTGTGGGTGCTGGTGCTCAGATCCCTCCGGTAATCGAGCGACTCAAGGCCAAGGCCCAGCAGGCCGGATTGTGGAACCTGTTTTTGCCTGATCGCTCCAACGGCGGCGCTGGACTGAGGTACTACACGCTCTTTACCCGCTGTGTGTGTGTGTGTGGTGTGGTGTGTTGTGCGCGCGCGCGTGTGGTGTGTGTGGTCGTGTTTTGCTTGCTGATGACGCTAGTCCAGCAACTCCGAGTACGCGCCGTTGGCGGAGTTGATGGGGTACTCGCCGCACCTGGCGCCGGAGATCTTCAACTGTAACGCGCCGGACACGGGCAACATGGAGCTCCTCGCGCACTTTGGCACCGAACAACAGAAGAAGCAGTGGCTCGCGCCCCTCCTCGCCGGTCAAATCAGGTCCTGCTTCGGCATGACCGAGCCGGCTGTGGCTTCGTCCGACGCCACCAACATCGAATGCCGCATCACGCGGTACGTTCTGCTCCTTTTCTCACACTTTTTCATTTCGCATTCGCATTCGCATTCGTATTTTAACTTGGCCGAGTGCAGGGATGGTGAGCACTACGTCATCAACGGTCGCAAGTGGTGGATCACCGGCGCTGGCGATCCTCGATGCAAGGTCGGCACATCCACCGCCCGATCTGTCGCTTGCTTGTGGTTCGTGATCACGAAACAGATCTGACGTCCTTGTCGTGCTTCCTCGCCCAGTTGTGCATTGTGATGGGAAAGACGGATCCCGACACCCCCAACCAATACCGACAGCAGGTACGTATCTACAACCCACCAAGCTGCATTTCTTCTTCTTCTTCTTCTTCTTCTTCTGATTAGACGCTCACTGGTCTTCCCCTTCGTTATGTTAGTCGATGGTGCTTGTCCCGATGGATGCGCCGGGAGTCAAGCTGGTGCGCCCCCTGACCACATTCGGTTACGACGATGCACCGTCTGGTCACTGCGAGCTGCTCTTTGAGAACGTCCGAGTCCCGCTCACCAACATTTTGGGCGGCGAAGGTACGCCTCCCTCCCTAGAGAAGCACTATTTCTCTTCGTTCGATTTCTTCATTGTTTCATTACCGGACGCTGATCGCGGGGTGTCGGTGAATGCAGGCAAAGGCTTCGAAATGGCGCAGGCGCGCTTGGGTCCTGGGCGCATTCACCACTGCATGCGCATGGTGGGCTTGGCCGAGCGCGTGCTGCACACGATGCGCGTCCGGGTCCAGGAGAGAATCGCCTTTGGGCGACCGCTGGCCGAGCACGGCATCATCCAGCAGAACATCGCCTTCTCCCGCATCGAAATCGAGCAGGTAAACTCTTTTCCTCCGGGTTGTGGTCACTGTGTATGATGTAACTCACTGGCAACGCACACGCACACGCACACGCACACGCACACGCACACGCACACGCACACGCACACGCACACGCACACGCACTACCGCATACGCACATGTGCGTTCAGGCTCGCTTGTTGACGCTCAAGGCGGCCCACATGATGGACACGGTGGGCAACCGGCATGCACGGAAGGAGATCGCCATGATCAAGGTGGTTGCACCCAACATGGCGCTGGTACGAATCCCGCCTCCCGGGCCAGCAGAGATCGTGTTCACCGAGTGGGTCAGCTAACACTGTTTTTGCCGCCACAGAAAGTGATCGACAGGGCGATCCAGGCCTTTGGTGCGGCGGGGCTCAGCGAAGACTTTGGTCTGGCCGCCGCCTTTGCTGGCGCCCGCTCTCTCCGCCTGGCCGACGGGCCTGATGAGGTACACACCCAGTGGAGCCTGGCCATGTGAAGCTCGCGTAGTCGTTAGAGTGGCTCAACACGAACTCATCGTGTGCGCACGCGGCAGGTTCATATGATGACCATCGCCAGGCTGGAGCTGCAGCAGCACAAGGGTAAGGCGCTCACCCAGAAAGGTGGTGCCACGGAGGCAATCAAGCGCTACCAGACGGCGATCGCGGAGACGTCCGGCGTTCTCTCGGTGGCCGAGGGCCAGGACCTGGTGGAGATCTACGCCCTGTTCAAGCAGTCCTCCGCGGGCGACAACACCACTCGTACGTCGCGCCAGCACACTCGTCAATTTGGCCACCGCCTCAACGGCAATTCTTGTGTTGGCTGCAGCCCAACCGAACGCGAGCGATGTGAGAAGCTACGGCAAGTGGATGGCGTGGGCCGGCTTGAAGGGCATGCGCCAGGAAGAGGCCCAGACCAAGTACGCAGACAAGATCCAGGAACTGCAGCGCCGGAAGCACGCCACCACCAAACTGTGAGCAGTTGTCAGCACTACTTTGATTATAAAAATTGTCGCCTCCTCGTGTGTCGTGTCGTGTCATGTGTGTTGTTGTTGTTGTTGTGTGCTCACTCACCACGGGCCATTGGTAAGCCGCAATGAACGGAAGTGGGCTTGGGCGGGCTGACAGGGGTCCGCCAACTGTGAGTGATGATGGTCATGCATTGTTGGTTGCAGCCGGAAGAACAACTTTCGGTCAGGTAGGTCAATGAATGAAGGTGGCAACGAAATTGCTGCCTCTCTCCTTGAGCTGTGCCCACAACGACGGTGGACAATCCCCCTATTGTTCGAAAGAAAAGAAGCGCAGCCCACAAAGGACAGAAACAATAGTGAGTTGAGCCAAAGTGTTGCTCTCAGTGCGGGGAAGAAAGGTAAGGACGGCTCTGGGCGGACCTTAGACCGGACGTCAGTGGCGATACGCTGGGCCAGGGCATGGGCGTCGTACTGGCTGCCGTGGTGGCTCAGGAAGCTGCCCTCCTTGTCCATGAGGTAGAGGAAGATGGAGTGGTCCACCAGGTAATCCTCATCCTTGTTCGTCACAACAACGAGCAAACAAACAAACAAACGAAGGCGAATATGAGCAATCATCGTTAAAAGGTCAATCGCCAACAACTCAGTTGGGTCGGTAATGGCGAGGACGGATGAATGCAGGTACCTCTTCAGAATGCTGCGAGGTGGACGAATAGACGCGGAAGGACCGGGCCATGCTTTCCACTTGCTGTGGCGTGCCCGTCAATCCCACAAACGAAGGATGGAAATCTAACAAACGCGGTGTGCAGCAGCGAAGAAGCAAGGATTAGCGCTCGGAACCGCTTCGTGAGCCAACACTTATTGGGGTTATTGTCATTTAAGCGTCACAAAAAGCGCTCGCACCTTTCAGATAGCTCCTGATCTTGCCAACGGTGTCACGGTAGGGATCAACGGAGATGAAGACTGGGACAACTAGGCCAGGTGTGATCCCTTCCTCTTCCTCTGTTGGCACCACAACAAGAACGTCCAGTGGCGTAGGGGGGGGAAATGAAAATGAGGACTGGAAGTGGCCAAAGGAGGAGAAGAGGGGGGGGGATAGGGCGAGAGGTGTTACCGAGGATTTTGAGCGTCTTGGTCACTTTGGCCAACTCGGCGGGGCAGATGTCGGGACAGAACGTAAACCCAAAGTACACCAACATGTACCTGGCAGGCGCAGCAGTAGCAGCAGCTGTAGGTAAAAAGCCTAAACGCAATGTGGTGATCGTGTGTTGGTCGGGTACCTGCCGCGGAAGGTGTGGTTGGTGACCACATGACCATCCTGGTCGACGAGCGTGAAGGGTCCTCCGATGGACGGCGTTCCTGCCACAGCAATCTCGATTCTTGCTGCAGGATGACACGTTGGGCACGTTGGGTGTGTTGTGTGTGTGTGTCGTGTGTGTCGTGTGTACCAAAAGCGCAACGCGTACGTTGTGTGGGTGCATGTGAGCATGTTTCCAACACTCTAGAGTGACACAAAGGTCCAGCGACAAGCTTACGTACGTTTCCTCTTGGCCTTTTCGAACTCAAAGTAGGCGAGCACCACCCCACAAGCGCCCAGGGCGAGGAGTGCGCTTTTCCACGTGATGGGCGCCTGCGGTGGCCGGGCTTCGGGAGGAGGCGGGGGAGAGGTGCGAGTGTTGCTCCCGCCTGCAGCTCCGGGTGTGGATGAAGGCTCCTCCGCTCGGCGGCGGGGCAGAGCCTGCGTCCGTACGAGCGGCGAGCGGGCTGGCCACACACTAGTCTGTCCTCCCTCCAATCTCATGAGCCGCGATTCCTTATTTCGTCTGCAATTGGCGCAATTGACACCAACGAATCATTGCCCTGCGTTGATGGTAACGCACCTTGAGACTGCGAGTCGCTGTGGAGATGAGGCTGTTATCCTTGCAGCAGCCGTCCCTGATTATGCCCGAAGCATACAGGCGTGTGGCAGACGCACCCTGACGGCACGCGCGAAAGCCCGCTGACGTCAAGTTCCGGGCGGAGGCGGCGCGGCAGCTGCGCATGTTTGCTGTCTTCTTCGCGATTTTGTGATCTCTACCTTACAACTTTGCCACACTCGACCTGTTTCCTCGAAAGGTAAAGAGAAATGAAAGAGAAAAACTATTTCAGTGGAATAAAAAAATGAGGAATGCGAGGCATTTTAACTTCATCATGGGTGGGGTTCTGTGGCGAGCCGTTCCGCAGCACGCCAACCCACAGGGATTGACATCTGTGTCACAGACAACCCTGTATTACCCCTTCGACGATGTTGAGGTCGCACTAGACGACACCAGAGACAGCACGAGCGAAGGAGGTAGGAGGAGGGGAACGACACACGAGTATCTCGCCACTCGCATCAAAGGAAGACCAAGTGAGGCTTCTTTTGCAGCAGCAGCCCCGCAGGATGGAACACTTGCAGGCCCTGGCGGCCGCTGAGCTGGGGAGCAGTAGTACAACCGCCGTGAGGGAGAGGACGCACGGCTCCGTCTACGTCTTGCGGGAGGACGTCGCCGTCTCCGAGGGGAGTAAGGGGGCGATGAGTCCCTTGCGCTCAGGCGGGGTTTCTTCTCCTTCATCATCGACCGTAGTGGGAGGAAGGCGAGATGACGACGACGATCACGATCAAGCTGGGCTAATCATTATCGATCACGATTCTCAGCGATTGAGATCTCAAGCAGCTGCCATTCCTCGAGTCTACGGTTCCCAATCAACCTCGACAGCGCCAGTGCTCTTAGGTAAGGGTTATAAAATCCTCATTGACCTCCTCCATCCTCAACAAAGAGAGAAATGCCCGTAGCGATTATTTACCCCAACCGGCGTCACGTGGCGCATTCTTTCCTTAGAACACCACCCCTCAGGTTTCTTGCACGGCCAAGAAGCCTCAGCACGCTCGCCACCGCGGGAAGAAGCTTCATCCAGCGTTCCTCTCGAGAGCAAGGGACGCGCCGACAGCCCGCCTTGTCCTGCTCCGCTCAGCCCGCCGTTTGTGGTGCACCACTACCCGCCCGCCGGATCCACCCACCAGCCGCTGCCCCTGGCCACGTCAGCTGCTGCTGGTCGCCACTCGGCGCTTCTGCCTCAGCCGCCTCCTTCCCTCCGCTCCGTACTCTCCTCCCTTTCTTGGCTCCACCCACCCCGCGAGGATGGTGAACCTAAAACTGATTGCGCGCGGCTGCAACGACAGTTCATGATGAACAACGCAGGGGCAGCACCCAACAACACGTTCGTGGGCGGCCCGCTGATCTCGCCGCGCGGTAAGCGGCTCCTGCCGCCGCAGGCTCCAGCTTCTTCGATGACAAGCTCCAGCGCAACGATAGGAAGCCCGGCCGGTCCGATGGCCTCTCTCTTCTCACTTCACACCTTGCAAGCCCACCTTCTCCGCTCCCCGCTCTCTGCGAATGCAAGCCCCGCCGGCTCGCCGCTCATGCCGCCCAACAACTGTGGCACCACTACCACTACTCCATCTATCCCAAGCGGCGGTGCCAGCCCACTTCCCTCAGTGCGGGAGAACAGAACAAGAGACGCCTGCCTTCGGTCCAAGCCCCAGCCTCATCGCCGCTACCCAAGAAGGCCCGTCTGTCAGAGAAGTCTGCAAAGCAGCCCCGAAAGTCCAGCAAGCTGAATGGTACGGTTCAACTCTTGCGTAGCTTTTCATCTTATTTTTATTCGTGAGTGTCTAATATGCCGCTTTCTATGTGATGGTCTATACTGGTAGGACCCGAGAGTAACTCATCGGGCACCAAGACTCAACGTACTCCCTCCGCATCGGGGCCCTACAACAACTCATCATCTCTCGAATCCTCCTTTGTTTGTCCCATCACGTCATCATCAGTTTCCTCTTCAGCATCACCTTCGTCATCCTCCTCTTCCTCTTCTTCCTCTTCCTCGTACTCCCCAGCCTTGCCGATACCATCACCAGCCGCTCCGATGGACGAGGTGACGATGGAATGTTGCGCTCAAATGTACTCCCTCCCCAAGCGATCAACCGTGCACCAGACAGAAAGGCAGACGCTCTTACGCTCTTTCATACTTGATGCGTGCAGAGCGGTAGCGCTGCAAGAGCAGGTGGTGTACTGGGGTCAATCCAAGAACAAATGCGACGTCGCGGCGCGAGTCATTGTTCCATTCAAGTACGTGGGCATGTCTATGTCGTTCATTCAATCTCTCTCTCTCTCTCTCGCCCGCCTGACAATCCTCAATTATTGAAGGATGCCTCACGCACACTGCACCGACACTAACTCCCCTCACAGACTGCAACCGCTGCTCAACAAGCGAGCCTTCTGCCACCTGAAGCCTTCCACCATCTACGGGGAGCCGGAGCAGGAGAAGCCTTTCGTCCAGCTAAACAGTGGCGCAGCAGGGGACAACGACTTTGACGAGAAGAGAAACTCAGCGCTCCTGGTGCTAAAGCACCAAACCGAGTCCAGGGGCGAGTATGAGGTGCTCTTCAAGCAATGTATCAATGACAAGTACGTGGTCCAACCTCGCTTTCCCAAGACCTTTGAGGCCAGTGAGCTATGCACCACGCTCACGCATCTCTTTTTGTGACAACCAGGCGTTTGTCAAACCTTACACTGTTGGAGATCGTCTTTACTCTGCTTGTGGGTGGCCATGCGATAACACGGGTGCGTACACGCCACCACGTCTCATGACCCTCGCTTGGCGTGGCTACCAACAACTGCAATGGCGTTTTCTTTTTCCTTTCTTTTATTCCTCATTCCCCCCCCCGCGCGCCTTCCAGGTGGTACCGATGGTGACCTACACGCATAGTAAAGCCATCACACGAGCCTCCTGCCGGCTCATCTGGTACCCGACAGGCGAGAGGGTGCGTTGTTGTTTCTCGATGCATTAACGTGAGCAATTCGAGCTAAACCTAGTTTTTCGGTGGGTGGCGGCCACGATCTCCACTTCTAGGATTCCATCACTATCGACGACATGCTGAACAAGCTGGCGGCCTACCACCGGCACCATCTGGACTATGAGATGCAATCGTCGGAGAAGAAGTACTATCAATCAAAGCTGCGAGTCCAGAAGAACGGTATGGATTGATGACTCCTGAAGCATTTGAAGGAATGCTAACCATTTCACTGAACAGTAATCAGCTATGAGGAGTTCTACAGCTTGCTGGGCGAATGGTTCGTACTTGCCATCAAGCTCGCAAAGAAAAAGAAGCAGTATCTGTGGCAGCAGGGAGAAAAGGTACGCACTTCAGGCCTCACGACGAGAAACGGTATCCGCCTGCAGATATCAATTTACTGATGTGTGGTATGTATGTTTATCTGTCACACGACCACGACGACATCCACTCCAGAGTTTCGTCCCGATGCTGATCAATCCCGCCAGGGATGACCCCACGACGATACTCAAAGAGGTTGGCGATTTCGTCATCCACATAGGTACAACCATACAAAGCTCAGGTTTGTCACAATACTTTCCGCCTCTTCGTGAATCCCACTCACCAGCGCTCTGTCTTAGGAGAAGAGATGAAGTCCAAGAAAGGCTCCAACTCACTTCCTCAAATATTGTACCCGCTCCAAATCACTTACATCGCCGCTGACGGTACGCGCTCTCGCCCTCTACATGCAGAGCTGCTCGTCCTCTCTCCCTCAACAGTGTCTGTTTGTGGTCGCGCGTTTTTTCGTACAACAGGTCAAGTCGATTGCATGGGGGTGGAGAGCAAGCTGGACAAGCTGAATGGGTTCATACACGAGAAGCGATGTCTGACGCACTACCTCGTGATGGTGCCCGGCGGCGAGTGGGCACGGATCAAGAAGGAGGACTTTGCCTTCAACGCTGCACAGCAGCGACGGTGGGAAACCACCGGCGGCGACAGCTGCGTCCTGGTGCGAGGAAAGGGCGAGTGCGCCTCCTACGCCCACGCACACTGACATGCATGATAGCAGGATTATTGATTTATTTGATTTAAAATTACAATAAATTTCTTGTCTGCCGCGTAAAAAGATGTATTGTCACAAATCAAATCGATGGAGCAGCCAGCAACAGCTAAAACGGGGGAGGAAGTGGCAGCTGCTCGCAAGGAGGAGTTGTCGGCTCTTTCCACGCGGCAGTTGCTTGAGGAACTTCACCTGCCCCTGCCCCTCCACTACAGAGCAGAGGGTGCGCCTCCCCCACCTTTAATCTTGGGCCGCATTCTGCCCGATAAAATGAATTGAGCACCTGTCTTGTGTGATTTTATGGGCGCCATCAGATGGGCTCACGCTCGAAGCCTACAAGAGAAAGGTACTGGAGGTGCTGCTGACCCGGGACATCGCCGCTTTCACGACAGAGGAGCTATCCCTCTTCCTTCGCGTGTGCCCCAAGAAAGCCAACAACAGCAAGCCTGTTGAGCATGCCGAGCGGTACGGGGTTCACAACCGAACCATTCACTCAATGCACAGCCGCCTGTGCCCAGGCACGAAGACTCACCACCTCTTACGGGTCGTTCTTTCTCTGCTATTCTCAAAAGGGCACTGCTGGCTCGGCTGAGCACCCTGTCTAAAGTCGAGCTTGCGGAGCTTCTCAAGTGGGTGGCGACATCGTCCTCCCTCGTCGCCGACAAGCAGCAAAACCAGGACAAGTAAGACCCCCTTCCTTGCCTGTTGTTGATTATCATTTTTCTTCTGCCGTTCTTACAGGCCTGCTCAACGAACTGCATGCTCGATAGATTGATTGAGGCTCTGCTGACGCGCAAGTTCGAGGAGCTGGAGCCAGCGGACTTCTTCGTAATCATGCCCTTGTGCCCTCCCGAAAGACAGCAGCAGATCATGGCCCATCTCTATCGCATCAGGTCCGTCTCTCTCCTGCCTTTCCCTTCGTTTCGAATGCCGCAAGCTCGAGTTCGTTTGCTCTTGTCCCAGTCAGTCTCGCTGTGTTAATGTTGGTGGCTTGCTGCTTCGGAAACACGCGTGCAGGCAACAGCTGGACAGCATTCAGATGCTCCAACTGATGAAGCTGTACTTCGTCGCCCCGCCCTCCGTTGAGGTACATACTTGGCCCACGCACACAGCAGTCAACTGTAATATGGCACTGATCATGCCGTGGTGGACATGCTCGCATCATGTTATAGATCCAAGGCCTCATGAACGCCCTTTATGAAAACGAAAAAAGAAGAAAGACGTCGGCCACTCGCGACTGGTCTCGTTCATCCGACCGGCGCACCAGATCCCCTATCCTCCGCAAGAAGGGGCCGAACGACCCTTCACGTCCTATCTCGAGCCTCACCCCACACTGCCGCTGTCCTACTTCCTGGACGCCACCTTCAACCCAATCATCGAGGCTCAGGTAAAGTGGAAGTGAGTGCTGCCCATGTGCACGGCTCGGCTTGCTGACTGCACGCACCTAACCTTGGACCTGGTCTTCACAGGTGGCGAGCGAGAAGCTGGGAGCCAGCAGCTACGCGCTGTCCCTCGCGGGTCGACTCCCGTCGCCGCAGCACGGGGTGGCTTTGTTCCTTTCCCTGCCTCCCTTCATCAGCGAAAAGCGACACTACCTGGGCTGCTTGACCGGTACGAGTTCTCGGCCTCTTCTTGCCCCTCGCGACAGGTGCACAGCCATTGAGCTCAAGTGTTGCTCTCCCATCTAATGTAACAGAAACCAAGCCCCTGTTCCCGCTGAGCTACCCCTTGCCGACTGTTGGCGCTGTTACGGCTGTGCGCCTCATCGCGTCCGTGCTTCCGCTTGAGGCCATCGCCAAGCAATACGGAACCCAACGTACAGTATTTCTTCGGATGGGATTTCTTCACTCACCCCATGAGCACCAGGCTCACAGTTAGCTCCGTCGTGGTGTGTGTGTGTGTGTGTAGCTGCCGGAGTCCTTGCCCTCGGCTCTCAGCCTGGCACGCCACTGGCGCCGTCGCAGGTTGGCGGCGAAGTTGAGGTTCGCTTTCCCGTCCTTCTCACCCCTACCTGCCGAGGGGAAGGAGTGTGTACTGATCCTTCGCCTCGTCATCAGGTCACTGTGTGCTTTGGAGAAACGCACGTCTTCAGGCTGCAGAAGGAGGACACCTTTGATGAGGTAGGAATGCGGAAGGATCCAACATAGTTCCCTCACCTTTCCTCCAACATACTTTGCTGATCACACTACGTGTCGTGCATCGATGTCCACAGTTGCTGAAGCGTGCGGCGCGGAGGTGGAATGTGTCGCCGACCTATCACGAACTGCAGGACAACAACTTCAGGACCCTCGACATCAACCGCCCGGTGGCCGACACGATGACGCCCAACGCCATCATCCGGCTCACCCGGCGAGGCTTTGCCGACACCGCCGCCACGCCCGCCGCCGCCGCGCCCGCTCCCGCCCTCACGAGCGTCTTCTCACCCCAGCGGCCCGTCTCCAACATCTTCGCCCAGCCGGCCCCTTCACCGTTTGCCTTCGGCACCCAGTCGCCTCTCTTCAAGTGAAAATATTAGGTTGCGGAAAGGAAAGAAAAGAAAGGAAATGTCTGGCACGGCAAAGAAAAACAAAGAACAAAAAGGACAAAAGATGGAAACCCCTGTGGCGGAGGAGGTCACAGTGCCGACCACCATCCCCGAGGCATTTCTTGCTCTTGCCAAAGAGGCGCGCGGTGCGTTGATCTTTCGTTGTTGTGTTCGCTAATTTGGCGATCTCTTTTGATATACGACTCAAGCTTGATCCGGAAGAAACTCACCGGCCGGTGGGGCAGAGTTGTACGTGCCCCAAGAGGTCCGGCGGATACAGCATGCGCCCTCTCCGCTCGAGTTCTACCGGGAGCACGTGGCGTCCAACCTGCCCCTCATCATAGAAGGTGCGCCGCGCGCAAACAAACCTTCATGTTGCCACGTGTGCTCACCACCATCTCCTCCCACGCAGAGGGTGCCACACACTGGCCAGCACTGACCAAGTGGACCAATGCCTATCTCACCGACAAACTCAAGGACGTCGGTACTTATTGCCTATCCTCTCAAGACAAGACTGCCCGAGTCTCAGAGATGACATTAACCCAATGCGCGCACCTCTCCGTCCTGTTGCCGTCTCGCAGAGGTCACGGTTGATTTCTCGGCCGATGGCTACAGTGATGCGATCAGAGACAATCGCTTCTTCGTCACTCCGAGTCGCGCAAGATGGGCTTCTCTCGCTTCCTTGCGCTCCTGCTCGACCGCAACAGCAAAGGTAGGTTCCCAAACGCACGTTTCATCATCACCTTCTCAACTAACTGGCTTCCGTCACCTTCTCTCCATCATCACCATCTTCTCTTGCATGCAGGAGTACCTTGTACGTACGTTCCTCTTTTCTCATCTTTTCTCGCCTGCGGCCTGACACGACTTCACTCACACGATGGGCGCTCCCCCCCCCTCAACAGACATCCAGCACCAGAACGGCAACTTCACTGCAGAGTTTGAAGAGTTGTGGGAAGACGTAGACACGGTACACGCTCACCTTCCTTTGCTCCGTTTCTAGCCCTGCTCAAGCGCCAAGGTTCGTGCATCAGGATGTGCCTTGGGCCACGGAAGCCTTCGGCGTAGCGCCGGACGTGGCCAACCTCTGGATTGGCGATGAGCGCAGTGTCACCTCCCTCCACAAAGGTAGCCGCCTGCGATGTGCGTGTATGTGTTGTTTGTGTTTGTGACGAGACCTGACAGGTCGAGCATAAAGTACAGACCACTATGAAAACATCTACTACGTGGTGGCCGGAGCCAAGGAGTTCACTCTGTACCCGCCCACGGATTTTCCATTCCTCTACGAGGTGAGAGCAACGCCCTCCTCCCCTCCGCTCCCACTTGTATGATTTACTCCTCTGGCCGGCCATGTAAAGCGAACGTACAGGGCCGCTACATACACCCGCGGCAGCGAAGACGAAGATTTTGCGGTCGTCGAGAACGACCCACCGAGTTCCGTCCCCTGGTATGCTCTCGCTCCCACTCGCCTCACATCCCCTTTCGTATCACTGCGACTTGACCCTCGAGAGCGGCTCCTCCATTAATGGTGCCGCAGGCTGTCGGTGGACCCTGATCGACCGGACTACGAAGCGTACCCACTCTTCCGACATGCCACGCCGCTCCGCTGTGTTGTCCAGTACGCAGCTTCCTGAGCGCGAGTCAAATCTTCGATTTAACAAACGCTTACTTACTTTTGTGAGCGCGTTGCAGTGCCGGCGAGGCTCTTTACCTGCCCTCCCTCTGGTTCCACCACGTCAAGCAGCACGCCGACGCCGAGGGCCGGTGCATTGCCGTCAACTTCTGGTACGTTGGCTCCCAATCCAGGCCTCTGTCTGACCTGACAGTGACACTGCTTCTGTGATATGCAGGTACGACATGCAGTACGACGTCAAGTACAACTACTACAAGGTAAACCCTGTAATCCAATCCATCCGTTCAGCTTCCCCATTAAGTTCTCACACATCCTCGCTTATTGACCAGTTCCTGGAGAACCTGACCAGCCTCCCCAACGCCGAAGAGGCCAAGCCTTGAGGCACACACGCAAGAAAAAGTTATTTATTCTCCGTTTTCTTTTTCTTCATCATATTTCTATTTTCTTTTATTTTATCCCCAAGGCAAGATGGAGACACAGGAGAAGCCTCAGGGCACTACGGCAGATGAACGACCAGAAGAACAAACTGTGCAGGTGCGGGTCCCCAGTGTGTTGCGTCGTCAGACTTTGTAAAAATAAAATCTCATTTAGCATCACAAACAGCAGGGGGAGGGGCCAGAGCTGCTTACCTGCGCGCCCGCGGCTGCAGAAGACGCTCCGAAAGCACCCTGAGAGGGCCTGTACGACACGTTCATGCCGCTGCTCATCTCCATGACCTTCAACTCCCCGCTCCAGTTCTGGGAGCTCAACTACATGCAGCAGCAGAACCAGTTCGATGCGGCGGCCGAGGAACAGGACAAAGTGGTACGTACGCACGTGCGGACCCATGCCCCACGTCTGGCGTACCGCGTGCCGCTTCTTCTCACACTCCTCGTCACCACGCGTGGGAGGGCGCCGTGTAGAGTAGCTTGGCCGTGTGGTTCGGCTACGAGCCCATACTGGTCGCGCTGCACGAGATCAAGCAAGTCACATGTATGTGTCTCTCTGGCTCTGTCCTCTCCTGTTTCTTGCTCTCTCCCTCTCTCTCTCTCAGTGTGCCCTCTTCTTCGTATTGTTTGCGTCTGCGCCTTTCGGAAACTCACGCTCCTCGTGTGGAGGGCTGCAGCCAACATGGACGCCGCGATACTGGATCTCGGCTGTGGCAACGGCCACGTGTGCGAGCTCCTGCTGGCCCTCGGCTTCACCAAGTATATGTGCCTGCCGCACGCCCCGCTTTACCTCTACGTCTAAGCCTCTATGTAAACATGACTGACTCTCGGCTGCGACTCTCAGCGTGCACGGGCTGGACTACAGCGACGCTGCGATTCGACTCGCCAGGAGCGTGCGACGGATGTATCGGGAACAGCGGGAGAACCAGCGACGGCAGGGCGGTGGCGGCGGCGATGATGACGACACCGGCGAGGTGGAGACCGGCATCGTCCGGACGGGTGGCATCGACTATGTCGTGGGTGACGCGCTGGCGACGGGCATCGAGGGCGGCTCCTTCGACGTGATCTACGACAAAGGCACCTTCGACTCCATCGCCTGCGTGAGCAAGAAGTTCGTCAAGTCGCGGCCGTCCCTCATGCCGCCGCACGAGGAGGAGAGCGACGAAGACGAGCAAATTCCCCGCAGGAGGACGACGGAAGACACGGAGAACGCCAGTGGCAACGAAGAAGAAGAGAAGGCAAACGACGACGAAGAGGACGACGAAGACGATCGAATCAAGTATTGCCGCGAGGTGAACCGGTATGGCCGCGTCTTCATGAAGCCGCTTACGCGTGTGAAAAAGGTGAGAAAGGGTTGATGACTGATGGAGCAGCCGGGCTTGTCGCCTGCAGATTGCTCAAGCCGGGCGCCTACTTCGTCATCACGAGTCAGTGCCACGACGAAGACGAGCTGCTCCGCTTCTTCACACGCGAACCGGTACGTGCGCCGGCCTCCACCACCACCACCAAAGACCTTCTTCTTTGGCCACTCATCATGCACGCAACCCTCGTGCGCAGGAAGGCGAGCCCGCGGGCTGTGATTTCGAGCTGGTCAAGAACCTCACCGACGCGTTCGCCGACCTGCGGCTGATGATCTTCCGTAAGCCTGCCCTTGAACTTGACCAGGACTGAGAACAGATTTGCCATCATGTTCGAAGAAATTGAGAGGGAGGGCGAGTCGCGCGTCGTCGCGTCGGGCCGCGTCGACCTCGTCCGCTCGGCGCTCGAGCTGCTGGCCTGGTCGATCAGGCCCTCGCCGCGCTTGAGCGCAGCCTGGCTTCTGAGTGCCTGGGCGTAGGCGCCGTAGACGGCGTCGAGCGGCTTGATGTCGATCGCTCGTAGGCGTTGTCAAACAGCGGATCGCATCTGCCTCGTGGTCGTCGACAGTCGCCTGCTGCTTGGCCTCCTTCAGGTACTGGATGCCCGCCGCCAGATTGGCAAAGAACGCCTTCTTCACCTGTGGATGCAGCGCCACAACGCCGATCGCAGGAACTTGAACGTCGTCGCTGAGCCGGAGGAGAGCAGAAGAGAAGCAAGTTGCACCTCCCTGCCATGTGGCGTGTGTGCGTGGCGCGTTGCTACCTGACCGAGGAGTTCAGGCCCTTCCACAGGCCTTGAGATCGATCTCGACGCCCACGATGCGGCTGAGGTACAGGAAGAACATCTCATGTCTATGTTCTGTCGCAGATCGAACTTGAGGGACTGCTAATCCTCCGTCAGCGCCATCTGCTCAGCAAATCGATCGATTGACATTCGCACAGGAAGACGTCAGCTGTAGGTCTTCAAATCGACGGCCTTGGCACTGGGCGTACTGGCCCTGCAGGTCCCTCACAACATCAACGATAACGAGCACACGCAATTGCCCGTCAACCTCCAGTCCGTCATCCATCTAATCTTGAAGTATAGATAAGGCGAGTGTCTGCAGGTGCACCCAGGCGGTGAATGCGTCGGAGCAGAGGTGAATGTTGTGCTTCTACTTGAAGCGGAGCACGAGCTCAGCTTGTAGAACACGCACCGCTGGTCCGCGTCTCTGGACTGCGCGAGTGTTCAAACCACACGACCACACACAGCCGTCAGTGAACGAACAGGGGACCAAGAGGGCGCGAGCCGGTACTCTTCAGAGGGACTCTCTGGCGGCAACAGGCGTGCAAAGTCGTAGACGTAGTTCCTGCCATCGGTGCCGCGGTGGGCTTCGAAGTCGCCCGGCCCGTGGATCGTCTTGTCCTTCGCCTTGTGCCCGCAGATGGCCAGCGGCGTGCACGCTGCGGTCATGGCTTCGTTCAGTTCGGGAATATCAGCGTGCACGGTCAAGCCGCCATCGCTGGAGAGGAGGACGAGGACATGTGAGTGACTGACCTGCGACAAGAGCAAGAGCAAGAGCAAGAGCAAGAGCAAGAGCAAGAGCAAGAGCAAGAGCAAGAGCAAGAGCAAGAGCAAGAGCAAGAGCAAGAGGACTGAAGATGGCACCCCGATCCGTATTTGAGCATGTCTGACGAGATGGGGAGGAGTGCCACAGCGGCGATGCGATAGTCGCAGTGATCGATTACGCACATCAACAGGTAGCTGTGGAGGGGGCACAGTGCGGGTGGTCAGAACGAGGGTACAGTGAGGGGGGGGTGCCACGAGCTTCAATGAGCGTACTGCAATCCAGGCTTCTTACAATGTACTTTCGATCGCGTACGTAACCACAGAGCTCCGCTCTTGGTGTGGTTGGGTGTATTACGTGGTGTGGCAGCCAGGTGTGCCTGGTAAGCTGACGCAGCTCCGCGGAGTGGACGCAAGAATAAGCTTCGATTTTCTTTATATTTAAATTAATTAATACAGTCGCCAGAAAGGCGTGGTGTCAGCCGGATGGAGAGGAGAAACCTCAACTTACAGCAACGCCCTCGCCAAGGTCGAGAGCCAAGGCTGAGTGTCGGCAGCCGAGCTATCCTCGCTGTCGGTGTAGTAGGGGCGGAGCTCACGAGGAACCGAAACGCGCGTCTGAGGCGCGCAGGGGTTGGTGCTGCACGAGGCCTTGATGACGATCAAGGGTCCGCCGTTGACGAGCGGGAGGGTCAGGCCGCCGCGCGTGAACTGCCCGGGCGCGGGCGGGATGGACGTCCACGGAGCGTCCTTGCCCGGGCTGCCGAACGTGGCGGGCTGCATGGTGGCTCGGACGTAGAGCACCTGGGCGGCGTTGTCCCAGTAGTAGACGTCGCCGAAGCCGTTGGCGACCTCGGCCACGGAGCTGACGTTCCTGAACGGGTGCGTGCAGACGGCCCAGCTGGTGGAGCACCACGAAGCCGCCTGGAAGAAGATGTTGAACTTGGTGCCGGCCGGGTAGGGGAAGGCGAGCACGAGCGAGTCCTTCGGGTCCACCTGGATCTCGGTCAGGTTGAGCACGTTGGGCGTTCCAGCGGTGTAGCGGATGAACCAGCCGCCGGCCTTGTAGACGATGGGTCCGGTCAACTGGCCCATGGCGGCGAGATCGACGCCGAGGGACTCGTTGCGGCCGAAGAGGGTGGCCTTGCCGACGACGGTGCAGTTCTTGGTGCCATCTCCGTTGCCGTTGACGCAGATGGTGGAGACGATCTGCGCCTCGAGAGCGGCATTGTAGCGGAACTTGAGGGCGGCGCTGCTGTCCTTGTCGTCCATGGGACACACCCACCGCTCGGCGACGAGCTTGCAGCTGCTGTGCATCTTCCACCACTCGTCGGCCCACGCGGAACCGAGAGCGGGTAGCGGCCGAGCACGTTGGTCTGGAGCGGGTAGCGGCCGAGCACGTTGGTCTGGCCCATGCGGTAGAGCTCCACGCCGGAGAAGCGCCCGGTGGAGCCCTCGCCGATGACCTGGACGTGCCCGCCGAAGCCGGTGAGGTACTTGTCGCTGCACGGGTACGTGGAGTTGGTCACGGCGTCCTTGCACACGGCGTTGGCTGTGTCGGTGGGCTCGGAGTTGAACGGGTCGCCGCGCACGACGATGTTGCGCGTGAGGAGGCCCACCTCGGCCTGGTACTCGCGCCCGCCGTAGTGCTGGTAGTCGAGCGGCGCGTCGAGCTGGATGGCCGCCACGCTGCTGTCGAGCAAGGTGCGGTAGACCTTGACGATGGTGCGCACCTCGTTCCGGTGCCAGTCGCGCGAGTCCTTGATCTCGGTCGAGGTGATGAAGATCGACTGGCCCGGCTGCCAGTTGACCATGTCCTGGATGAAGAGGTAGCTGTCGCCCTTCTCGGCCGTCATGGCGAGGCGCGACCAGGTGGGGAAGTAGCGCATGCCGTGGATGTCCACCCGGCCGCCGCCCGACGCGGCGATGCCCTTGACTGGCGGGCTGGCCGGGAGCAGCTGCGCGTCGCGCGAGCCGTGCAGGGTGATGGTGATGTTGTTGCGCAGGCGGCACGTGGGCGAGCCGACGAGGAACTCGCCCTGCACGTCGAAGCCCGCCGCCGCCATCGAGATCTGCGCGTCGCCGAGAATGAGCGCCGAGCCAGCCGGGATGGTGATGGTCTTGAAGACGAACGTTCGGTCGATCGAGCAGGACGACACCAGCACGCGCGTATTGGCCGGGATCGTCACGTTGGTCCCATTGGCCGGAACCGAGCCGCCGGTCCAGGTCGAGGTGGCGTGCCAGTCCTTGAGGCTGTCCAACTGGTCGAGGTGCGGGCAGCCTGACTGCGGCGGGTCGACCGACGGGGTCACCTTGGCCGGTCGGTACTTGCTGTACTGCGCCACCTCGCTCCAGTGGTTCTTGACTAGAACCCGACCCGACGGGACAAGGGCGCTGGAGAGGGTCTGCGTGGGGAACACGGCACCATCGGGAAGCGAGCTGGAGCTGTAGCTGTCGCGCACGCACGTAGCGCCCGTGGCGGGCTGGGTCCCGAAGAGGGCGATCAAGAACAGCAGCAGGAGGCAAGCGGTGACGGCCCACGAGAGGTGCGAATCTAGTCGGCTCGCAGCCATGATGGGATGGTGGTACAAAGAAGAAATGAACACGAAGCCCGGCGACAACTGAAACCCAAGTCGCGGCAGTATTGGCTTTGCTCCGACTGGCCGACCATTTAATTGCCATGATCGGACTGCGGTGATAGGTTAAATAAAGTGACGTGGCGCCAGCCCAGCTGGATGGTTGGCGCAACCAATTTGGTCCGTGATTGGGTACTGAAAGATGCGCACTGGCAACGCGTCCGATGCTCGGATTTTTCTCGGCACGTCTCCACACATTGCCCCACTATGCTCTAAGATCCAGCTGGGCAAATTTCATCAGCCAAAAACTGCAAATCACAATAATAATAGTTTTGGCCAATCAATTGATGGGATTTGGCATGTGGATTGATAGGCTAATTAGACTGTGACTTGAGCATCCTTGCAGCATGCACCCCTACAGGTGTCCCTATGATTTTGAGCCCTTCAGCAACAGCAGTACATCCCACATCACCCTCACCATGATTGGCATGCACAAGTTCCTCAGCATCTTGCACCCACACTAGGCCCAATTCAGGCACAGGCCAGCAGGGCCACCTTCACATTCAGCAGTGGTGAAGGTGAGCACAACTGCTGTCTTGGTGGCATCATCCATGACACCTTGCAGCACCACCACCAGACCTCAAGGCCTTGCAGCAGTGGAAGGCAGCATGCATGTGTCACAAATGGGGTGTTGCAGATGATGTCCAATACTATCTTATTGCCATGCTGACATTCCTGGTTATCCATGTTGATTGTCAGGAACAGCACACACACACACATAAACAACCATAAACTCACTCTCATGCACTCACTCTCTCTCTCTCTCCATTACCCACATGCACACACACACACAACACCAAAAAACACAACCTAAGTGTGGGCCAGTGCTTGCAATGGCCTAAAGAGCAGCAAATTCAGGTGCACCAAAGGCAACAAGGAGAGCAGGCAAGATCATAGGCTCCAAGAGAGAGAGAGAGGATTGATGAGTGCAAACTGGCCAAGAAAATCAGAAATAAACAAAGAAAAAGGGCTAGCAGGCCAAGAGGGGGTGAAAGAGAGGGCAATGGGTGAGAGCAAAGCTGCACATGAGGGAGGGCTCTGCCAGGGTAGGGGTGATGAGGAGCTGAGGTGACAAGGAAGAGAGACACACAGGCAAGAATGGGAACTATGAGAGCCAGCCAGCCAGCAGCAGCTGTTTGCAAACAACCACTTTTGCAAAACAACCACTTTTGCAAACAACCACTTTTGCAAAAACAACCACCAATGCTGCAGAGGTGTAGGGGAAAACTGAACAAAAAGGGGTCCATTTCTTGTTTGCTCTCTCTCTTGTGTGTGTGTGTGCACCTCCACAGCCCCCCCTGGCAAAAATCAGCAACTCCACCATTTGCCAAACAAGACACACTGCATTCTGTTAAGCTCAACCTCCTCAGAGCGAGAGGAAGAGAGGCTGAGAAGCCAAGAGACGTGATTGAGGGAGAAGAGGGAAAATGTATTGTAGGAGTTTGGCAAGTACAAACACAGAGGAAGGAAAAAGGTGAGAATACTCAAGATTATGAGTAGTCAACATTTCTTGCGGCGTTCGCATTTTTTTCTGTCAGCAAAGTGGAGATCTGGACAGCAAGCAGACAGTGAGAGAAGAGGCCAGCAAGGACGAGGGTCGTGGTGGCAGGAGAGGACAGGTTTTTATTTGGCTGGCGGCAATAGAAGCCTCGCGCCAGGTCGGACAAATTTTGTGGCGGAAGAGCGCGAGAATACAGACAGGTTTGTTGTTGCTTTTGTTGACATCTTTTTATTTCTGCGGCATGGATTCTTCTTTGGCCCAAAGGCGGCGACGTGGGAGCAGCGTGTTCTCTTCGCCCCCGGCGACTTTGCCCCAACCACCCCGACAGCCGACGCCGTGCGTCAAAAACCCCCCAACGCGCACCAGAACAGCCTTCCGCTGGACGACAGGCAAAGCGACGGCGGCGCGGGAGTGACATATTCTCTTGTCCTCCGCCGCCGCCACCGCAAGAGCCATTGGTGTACGCCCGTGTGGAGGCACCGCCCGCGTTGGCATCGGCGCCCCCTGTGGTGACGCCAGCGCCTCCCACGACGCCGCTACCGTTGGTCGATGCGGACCAAGTGAAGCACGTGTTGGCGCCGTCCGCACAACACCAGCTCGGAGGGATGTGCGAGCGCACTCTGGGAGACTAGAAAAAGAGTAAGTCTCCCTCCCCTGCGCTCACAAGACGAGGCTGGTGAGCGCCTAACCGGCGCCCACCAGCTCACACTAGCTGCGTGAAACGGCAATTTGCGCAGCAAGGGAGCAAAAAAGGGAAAGCACGCTAACCGCGTGTCCCCGACTCTAGCCAAGTCATCTCCATGCCAACCGTCACATGAAGAGGGGAGCCACTTTATTTGGGTAGCAACAAACTGTGTTGTTCTGGCTTCACTGAACAACTACAGTTCAAGTGGATATTCACCATGTCAAAAGGCCACACCACTGCTGTTCCTGTCTGTCTGCTCTCAGGCCTGCCCAGTTGCAGCAAGTCTGTGCTAGTTAGGGTCCTGGCGCGCTCTGCTGGTTATGACACTGTCAAAGTGATTGACACTTCAAGCATATTGGTGTGTGGTGTCAATCTGATGATGCAACTGAAATTGTGTGTGCTCAGCCCTGCGCGCTGCCTGGTGGTGTTGGAGGACGCTGACATGCTCTGTGCCATAGCAGACTCTTACAAGTCAGATTCCAGTACTGCCACAAGCCACTACACTTTGGAAGACTTGCTGCTGCTTGTCAGTTCACTGTCACAGATGCAAAAGGATCATGGAGACCACCAACCCACTCATTATCACCTATTGCAGGATGAAGTGGTGCATTGTGCAAGACCTGGAGAACCTGGCACTGCATTGCGCCCTGTGTGTGCCCATGTTAGACGCCCCACTTGATGAAATGACTGTGTTGACTGTGCGCATCACACACCACCTCTTGGACAGTGTGCTGCTGCATCAAGCTGATCAGGATGCACATTCTTTTGCACATCTACTTGATCATGGCAACCATGACCTGTGGTGCTGCTACATGGCAGCCTATGACCGATACCTGGCTGCCACACACAGTATCAAACCAGCAACCACGCCCATTGACAACAATCTCAGGTGGAATCCCTTGTCTGCCATGTGTGCCATTGTCTATGGTGTTGCCAACGCCAGCTTTGGTCACACCAAGGCCAACACTGTCGACATGGCACTGACACTGGCGTTGCTGCCCTCACAGTTCATGCTCAACCTGGTGCAGGACAATTGTCAGGATGCCTTTGCCAACATGCATGCCCATGGCACTCTGGCGATGAGCACTCTGGCAATGGACTCTTTGGCCTCTGCCATGGACTGTCTGTCTGACATTGATGTTATGGCTGGCAGTCTCTATGGTTGTTATTCAGACGCCCTTTCCAATGACGTGGCACATTATCTTACAGCACACACCATGCTCACCTGCCAGCACAACACTGCACACATCAGGCTCATACCTTTTTACCCACCTCACAACAGCATTATGCCATTGACACATCAACCATCTTCCACCAAGACAGTTGCCCTGCCTGCCAATATACAACCGCCCCACTACAACACTGGCATGCACATTGTGTATGATTGCACACGCTGGGACAAGTTAATGGTGTTTCATGCCACTGCATCTGTGCTGCAAGCACATGACATGAACTTTTTCTGCATCTGGGACCACCAAATGCCGCTCATACTTAGGCTGGTGTCACTGATGAAGGCAGCCAACTAGTGCACAGAGTTGCACAGTTTCATCACCACTCTGCTCAACCACAGTGCCTCCTGCCAGTATGTTGTGTCACTCATGACCTTGATGTTTCCTTGCCTAACTGGAGACCCACTAGAGTGGAAGGCCTTTTTCAGTATGTTGACACTGAGCATCCTGCATGATATAGCACCACTCATCATCTCCACTGCATCCACTGGGTCAACCACCTATGTGGCCAATGGCATTGTCAAGTGGGTTCCTCAGGTGCCCTCATCTGCTTCATCTCCAGTGCCTGTCAGTGATCCTGTTGAGTGTGGCATGCACTTTGTGCGCCTGCCACCACCATCCTGAACTGCAATGTCAACTGCCAACCAATTGCTGCCTCTGTCAACCAAGGCAAAACCTTTGCACCAGCACAACAATGGGCGCACAGCGACTGTGCCTGCAGGGACAGACAAGACATGCTATGTTAGCTGGATGGTGAGCCCTCTCTTGGCGCAGCACTTGGCCCTCTATGACATGGAAGATCTTCCCAAGTAGCAGCAGCCACTGCACAGAGCTGCTTGCTGGTGGCACTTTTGTTGTACTGCTTGAGGTGGTGATAGATCTGGTAAAGGTAGTTGAAGGTGGCAATGTTCATGCCCTCAGCTCCCTCAATTACCTCTACAAGACAGATGGGCTGATGGGGCTAGTGCTTGTCCCATCTCTTTTTGGTGTGCTGCTTGGCCTTGTGGCGCTTGGATATCTTGAGTGCCTTTAGATTGCAGGGCACCTTGTGCTCCACACCAGACGCCTCCATCTTGGCGCCAAACTGCACCACATCCAGCAACCCATAAACTCCTCCTTGCACTCTTTTATGAGGTTGTACATGCACACTTGATTGGGTGTACACAACACAACACTGTCCCTCACAATGACATTGCCTGCATCCAACACTGCTGCTGCCTCTTCCAGCATGACATGTGCTGCTGCTGGTGTGGACTCCATGGCTTGCTGTCTTACCAAGCCTGTGCCTTTTATCAATAACAACACCCAGCACACACCACAAAAAATACCACCTATGCCACTCCCACACAAGGCTGACCCTGAAGTGCCAACACCTGCACACAAGCACATGTGCTACATCAACCACCAGGGTTGCAAGTTGGCCTGTATGTTCCCCATTCAGTGCAGCATGTGTTGCTTCAACATGGACAGCCATTCATAGCTCTTCTTTCACCTCTACAACGCCAGCCTACCACTTCCCAAGGTGTGTGCACACAGCAGGTTTAGACACATCTGCTGCCTCCACTACCTCCTCTCCACAGTGGACTGGCTTGCCACAACACTGGCCTACAAGTATACCAACTCCCTGCATTCACCTGCTGATCACAACAACACCAATGCCAAGGTCTACCAACAGCCACCTGGTCTGCACATTGCCAAATTACCTGGCCACCCTTGACACCACTCTATTGAATAATCTGTATCAGCAAAAGTGTGCACCATCACCATTATGTGCTGTGTGGGGAGGGTGAAGGATTGCCATTTTTTTATTCCTCAGTTGCCAACTGCCTCTTTGCCTTCCAGCACTCAATGAGTTGCACTGTCATTGCATGGTGTGTCACCAGCTGGCTGTCCACTGGGAATTTGCCCATCTTCCTCAAGATCTTGGTGAGCCCATCGATGTTGTTCTCCATGCACTGTATGATGGCATTGGTGTTGGTCCTTGAGGGTTTGGACCACTTGTTGGAAGTGTGTGCATCCATTGATGTCAATCTCACCTGTCTGCCACTCCATGTTATTGGCAACACAGTTGGTGTCAGCAATAAACTCTCACAAGATCTGGCCCAGCATGATGACATCAACCATGGAGAGGATGGTGCAGATGGAGCCAGGACCCATGCTGTGGCCCTCCCTCTCCATCATGTCAATGATGTTGCTGCCAAGCTGCATCAGTTCATCAGTAGTGAAGCAGTGCAGCTTGCCCCCATGCTGACAGTAGAGCATGCACACTTTGGCCTCAAGGTGGAGGGTGATGAGACTGGACTCAGTGTTGCACAGAATCTTGGCCAGCATGTTGTTCTGCGCAAGCAATTTCCAACACTTGCCCACCATCTCCTTGCTGTCCTTGTACTCACCACATCAATCCCCTTGAGGTTGTTGTGCTTGAGGTACTAAATGGCCAACAGCGTCACACACCTCAACAGCTTGGTAGTGCAGCAACATCACCTTGTGCCAGCCCTTAATAAACTCTGTGCAAATGTTGGGGCTGGGCACCACAAGACAGTGAAAGCTGAGCAGGGCATTCATGAGCAGCAGAAAGTCCGCCTCCCTGTGATGCTG